GAAAATTCAACTAAGGTTACTGAAAACAAAGTCAAAGTTGAGAAGGATGAAGATAAAGGAAAGGAAGCTGTTAAATCAAGCTGTGGAACTTTAAGTCAATGGAATGTTCCTTCAATTTCAAGTCAAAGAAGAGTTATTTTTGAGTCAGATGTGGCAAGGAGGAAAGTGGATCCTGTAATCAAGAAGAGGACTTCACCACGTTTTGCTAATTTGGATCAAGATAATCAAGATCAAATTAATCAATCAACTTCAAGAAATGATGAAAGAAGAAAGGAGGAAATTATTATTACTGATGGACAAGCTGAGGAATTTAGACGTGAGAATTCAGAAAGGTGTTCAACACCTGGTTGGGATGGAGTTGTGGAAAATTCAAGAGATGTACCTGCTTCAAGTACACCTCAAATTACTCCCAAGAAAATTTTAAAGAGAGGTACTAGAATTGAAGATTTAAGTACTGATTCAGATTTTAGAAATTTTACCTGGAAGTTATCCAAATACTCCAGATCAAAGACATAAGGTTTTGAGGGACATTTCAATTGAAGATGGAAGAACTTCAAGAAAACCTACTTATATTTCACCTTTAAAGAATGTCAAGGAAGAGGAACCAAGATCAAAGTCACCTGGTATTGTTTCAAGCAAGAAGAATGGCGCTTTCAAGGTTTAATTGATAAGTGTAAAGAAATGAAGGCTCCTCAACTTACAATGGAGGAATTAATTAATTTAGTGCCTGATTTAGTTGATGGTTTGAAAGTTAAAGGTGGTAATGTTGGAAATGGTTTCAGTAAGAAGGTCAATTTAAGTTCAAGTGGTAGTATTAGGCGTAGTAATGAAATTATTAAGGAAGAAGATATTGGTCATATGGATCATATGGATTTGGAAAACTTGGATTTTGGTAAATTAAAATCAATTTGGGGTAGACAGAAAGATTGGTTGTATTCATGTCCTTTGGGTTTTCTTAATGTTGAACTTGGAGATCATGAAATTACTGCAAGGTGTCTTATTGATTCAGGTTCTCAAATTAATGTCATGAATGTAGATTTTGCGTATAGTATGGGTTTAGAATCTCATGTTAAAATCAAGATGTCATTACGTGGTATTGTGATAATAAAGCTGAATTAGTTGGTATTGTTGAAAATGTTCCGCTTTTACTTGGTAATCATGTTCAAGGAAAAGTTCATTTCTTTTTAACTACCGGTGATGCACCAGTTATTTTAGGACGTCCATTCTTAGTTGATTTTGAAGCAAATTGTCAGTTTTCAGAGAAGTATGGTGAAAGAATTTCAATGGTAGATGATAGAGGAATGGTTGCAAGGTTTTCAACTTGTGATGGTAAAGCTAGTGAATTTCAAAGGAGTATTCCGGGAATGGATTGGCCTCCTCAAGTTTATGAGCATGAAGACTCAAGAGGAAATCAATCTTCAAGAAGACATAGGTATCCAAATAGTGGGAAGAAAGTTTGGAAATTAGTTAGAGAAGATGCTGATGACGGTCAAAGGCATTTAAAAGATTTGTAGGTGAATCTTTACATGGGGAAATTGTCAAGGTGCAGCAAAACACCCCTGGTTCATCTAATTATTTGCATCATAATTTTCATTGTACTTTGAATTATTTCTCTGACTTATCTTATATTCAAAATCAAAACTTTTCTTTTGACTCTTATTCAATTTCATATTTTTCTCAATTTAATTTTATTTCAAATGATGATGAGTTTAATAATTTTTACGGTGGTAAATGTTTGAATAGCGGTAAATGTAAAGCAAGAAGAAGAGGTTCAAGACGTGGAAAGAGAAGATTATTACGGTTCAAGATTGAAGATGGTTTATTTGAAGAAGAAGAATTGATCATACAAGTTAATGGAGAACTTGCAATTTGAACAAAAGTCGGACAAAACCTTCCATCACTTTGAAAATGTGAGAGTTTCGTCTGGTCGTGCTATTTGATCCTTTAAGGATTACCATACAAACCACTATGTGTGTATATTACACAACCCACCATCTACCACAAATTTGTGCTTTATATATCCCATTTATAAACTTACACAAAATTGTACTTCATTCTCAGCTCCCAGGCCTCCATTCTTACATGCAACATCATCAGGAATTTCATAGCAATGACCATGACCGCAAGATATATACTTGCCTCCCTTCCTGCATCTACCAGCTCCACACCATCTTTCGATCACTAAAGTTTATTTATATCGAGACAGTCTGCCAACATTGAGTATTATCCTTCGTCAACTTTTCTCTTACATCTTGCTACCCAAATTAAATACTCCGCATTCTACCGACTTCTTTACTGACCTAAATTCCTACATTCAACCATTTACTTTTCCCATTATTTCTTCAGCCGGTAATAATCATTCTTTTACCTCAACTACCGTAATCGATCATTAAATTAACAGTATGGATACTGACTTGATGTCTTTGCATTAGCCAATAGTGAATCATCAACTAACATGTCTTCTAACAACTACGCCTTGCTTGCTAGAAACCAGTACAACCAATGCATCTCTATCTTACGTCATTTATCTATTCCAAACGCAGTACATAGTTGCATCATCAACTTCTCCAAAGCTAAAACGGAGCTAATTGTTTATGATGAAAGTTCAATCGACATAGCCGAACTCAATGGGGACAACTACCTCTTTCAAGCTATGCTTTGCACCACCTCAATTGAATTTTTTGTTCACAGCTCGTTCCCTAACATTAGGTATCCTTCTCAATATTTCGCACATCAATGAAACGTTAATGATTTTAATGCTTGGAATTCATTTCATGTGCTACAAACTTTAGCTGGATCTTATCATCTAGCCGCATTATTGAACAAACAATCATTGAAAAAATCCGAATGATTGATTACCTACCATCTCTCAATCTAGGTTAGTCGTCGTTGACCAAAAATTCCGCTGTAATAAAGACTTTCGATCAAGACTCATAGGGAACTAAAACTTTCTAACGTTCGACAGGGGATTTGATCAGTTCAGGTCTAATTATTGGTGACGGAGTGATACAGAACAAATTAATATGTTATGATCCTATGTGACGGATCATGGTTCACGTACTGTGACACCTCACGGCTTCGAGCCGCACTTGTACCAGATAGCACATCCCACTTTGCTCTCTTTCCTTACGCTACAATAACTATATTACGTGGTGCCAACTTCTCCCTCTGTCCCCCAAACCCCTGAAGCCAGTCATAACATATTGTAGCGTCTAAAACTGAGACAGACTGAGAAGATAAAGAAGAATTCAAGAAACAAAGAAATTGAAGAAAGTTGAAGTTATAAAGAAGAAAGTTGAAAATTTTGAAACCATAAAGATATCATAACATTTAATCCCAAAGACGGTTCGCTAAGGGCCCATTCGGATCGTTTTCAGATATTATCTGACCTGAAAACAAAATTTTGATTTGCCCCTATCTCAAGGGGCACATCGACATTGTCGTATTTCGGACATGGAGATTACTGAACAGCAAACCAAAAGAGGTCAACCGACATCTGTTGACCTCGTGATGATCATATCGCTGTTCGGTAACGGCCATATCAACTTGCATCCATTTTTATTTGCCTCAATCTTTTGAAACGGTCATCCAGACCTTCATCATTTACATCCTAAACTTTCCTTCTTGTGTTGACATTGCACCAAAATGGTTCAAATTGAACAATCGATTTCAAAAGTAATAACAGTTGAAGAAAAGAAAAGAGACAAAGCGAATAGAAACAAAAAAACAAAAAGGAAAAGGAAAAGGAATAGAAGAAAGGAAAGAACGAAAAGAAAAGAAACAAAACAAAAACAAAGAACAGAAGCAAACAAGAAACAAAAAACAAAAAGAAAGACACGAAGACAGCAGAAAACAAGTTGATTGAAGAACTGCTTCGCTGCGAGGAATCAGGACGGCTAAGCAAAGTTGTGAGGATCAAAAAGGAAAAAGGGTGCGTGGGTAATGAGAAAAGGAGAAAGAAGTGATGGGTAGATGGGGGTTGAGGGAGGGGCACATCGACATATTGGCTCGAGACCTTTTGGCTGTATCTCAATATGGATCAATATCTCGATCTTGATGATCAGATACTGACCTCAGATATCTGAACCGAACGCCAATCAGATTTTGAATATCTGGTGGAGTTTGGACCCAGATACTATCTGGCGCTATGTAACACTTTTGGTGTGAAATTTCGCCAGATAGTATCTGCTCGCGGTGTCCGAACGGGCCCTAACAAAACTGGACAAAATCCACCATTAGCGTGATATTCCCTAACTTAACTAAGTACCTCCTCAAACCGCGCGCGTCCCCCGGAGCTTGCGGAGGAGGGACTTACGACTTATACACGTCTCCTTGCCTGGTACCCTTTTTGAAATTTGTGTTTTTTGGCCGTTTTCGACTCCATCTAAGCTACTCATCTCACCACTAGACAACAAACATTTCCGAATCAGCCAAGTTGTTCCGCTGCATCTTGTACTTCTTCCTTTCCAAAATCCAGATGTGTTTATTTGTATTTGTAGTCTTCAGTGGAGAACTGAAGACTGTAACATTAATCTTGCTTGATCAAACAACTGCGCTGACGGCTGAAACTATTATCTTGTCCAAAACCTTTTAGACACTCAAAAGAATCAAGTATATGTATGATCACCTGTAGTCGCAGCAAGCTCAGAAATTGAAATTTGAAACTCTCAAACAAGAGCTCCTTTGCAATTTTGAGCTCCGAAGCGATTAAGAAGAATCTGAATCGAACAAAAGATCAGGAAGACAAAGATCTACAATTTCATCATGTTACTTCAAACACTTGAATTGTGTAAAACAGTGGTATGGGAGGATGAAGTTAGTCCCAGCCAAACTACAAAGGCTATCACGCGAGAACTCGTGTATAAGGCGCAAGCCCCCCCTCCGCAGGCTCCGGAGGTTTGGGGGGGCTTGTGTTAAGCTGGGATATTCCAGTTTTGTCTTGGTCAGAAATCCGCTGGCAAGGCAAATCCCTGCAAATCCCCCTTCAATCCACATTTCACATGCCCATCCCCCATTTCATCACTACCCAGATACACCCTTCCTCTCCTCAAACCCTCCGCCTCACCAACATTCTGTCTGATCAACCTGACCATATTACCTTGCCACCCAGCCTACTTCGAACCAACTCACCATATGTGCCAGAAAAGGAGCGATCATCCTCCTGGCAAACACCTACGACATCGACCAGCGTTCACATTCTCATACCAACGTCCGCCCCCAGTGTTTTCACTCCATCACCTCAAACACAATCTCATTGGCATTGGGAGAGAGGTCAGGTCATTACACGTAAATCTTACTCTCAGTTCCTCCAGACCCCTGCTCAGATTTATAAACCATCCGCCTCAACACTCAAATCACTTCGCACTTTGGAAGTAAGTTCACGCTTCTGATAACAATTAATTCCAGGAATGCACACTACTCAATACAATGTTTTTTGCATATCCGTAAATGAAACTTGAAAGGTTTTCATACTTTCTAAAAGTCATCCAAGGAACCAAATCCTGCTACCAAAACTAAAGGTAAATCTTTTTAATCTGCTGCTCACATTTGACCCTTTAGATGGTGAATATTCTTTGATTCGCTTTGTTTGACTGATAATGGTTTTGTTTTGTTTGTTTTGGATGTGTGATGTCAACATCAGTTCACCTTGAACATACCCCTATTTTAATTCAAATCAAACCCAGATCAAAGTCAACACATTCAAAAAACCTTAAATCCAAAAATACCGATTGAAAGAATCCAAATCAAAAACTCGCTGCTGCTGTGAAAAGTGCAGATGAAGATGGACAACCAATCAAGTTCATTTTGATCAACACTGTTTGTCCAAAATCTAATACATAGCAATGGTACATCTAATCAACTTTATCAACATCATCTATGAAGTGCTAAGAAAAGAGCTTCGATTCCACAAAATCAAAACTTGGATCCTGAGATGAACGTACTGGAAACACTACTGCCAACTAGAAATCATGCTAAATTGAAATTCGTTCTGAACCTGCAATGCCACGAACTCGAATCAACTTCGTACTCCACCTTGATTTTCATCTACACCGATTACACCCTCAAAGATTCTCTCCATATCAACCCACTATCTGTCTCATACTACTTAGTATGCTACCATACTGGATTCTGGAACGCTCAAGTGGTGTTTGTAATGTTCTTTGTCATATTTTTACATGATTTCTCCATTTTATTGTTATACTAATATGGTCCTTTTTGCACTTCACACGTCATACAATAGGCTGTAGACATGAAATATTATAGGCCATTTAACTTCATTCTATCCCCGAATTCCACCCACTTCAATGGACATACACCGATTTTGGGCATGTTGAATACAAAATAGTATAATTTGATTCAACATACCTTGAACAATTCTCAATTGAATTCAAACCGTCATTGTCATTAGTCAACTACACAATCACCAATTCATCAGTCAAACCAATCAAATCAGATGAAGGTGATTTAGAGTTACTTGCAAAGAAAAGGCAAAATTCTGATGCTCAAGCTGCTTTTTGTTTATGTCGTCAAACTTACATTAAAAGTTAGTATTCCTTCAGCTTCCTACCCTATTCTTATATCAACTTTTCTCTTTACGTGATGAGGCGTTTCTGAACTTCAATGATTTACTGAACGATTTGATGGGTGATCTTTTTTCAGATCGATTTCTATGTAATAGAGTTTGGAAGACACTGTCACCGAATTACAACATGAAGTAAAGGAAATGGTTAGTAATTTGATTGATTTACCGATTATCGTTCACATATATGCTAATGCTAAATATGACTGAATCTTTAAATTCAATGAATTAACCACAACAACTACGAAGTTTATGCATCAAGAAACTCATTCATTATCAATCTTAAATCAATCAGATCCGAACCAACCAACAACAAGTTCAACAAACAATCCAGTAAGTACTACTACCAACACAGCTACCACCACAAACTCTGGTAATCCCAATAACACTAATACCACTTCAACAATAGCAAATCATTCGATCTTGAAATTTGCACCTCCTACTCCAAATACATCAGAACCCGAATCAAATGAATGGTCAATATACATTTATCTTATCAGTAGTTACACTTTCACAACAATATCAAATTTGACTAACACTTGTTTCCCTTTATTTACAGGGTTTTTTGCTTTATCGTTCCACTGATAAGGTGTTGGGGATTTGTCCTTCCAAAACCGCCGACATCTCTTTTTTTATCCGTCGGTTTGAAAACCGTCGTTTTTCATAAATGACTTGTTTCTTTGATAGTCATGTTGTTGAAATGAATCATCCCTCTTAAATTTGTTTCGTTGAAAGGGTTTTAAAAAAATATTTGAAGAATTCTCGTTTTCATCTTCTCCTATATCGCCATCTACTGAATCATGGTTCACCCCTTGAGGATAATAGACCTTATCCTAAAATCATCACATCTTCATCTTTATCTCATTTACTTCCAGATTCAAGACATTCAACTAACCTAGAAGTCAATCATCTCTACAATCGAAGTTCATCATGGTGAGTTATTGATTCTTACAATCTTTTTTATAACTTTGACTGACCTTGAGTTCGCCCTTTGCATACCCAACAACAAACTCCAGATGTTCATGATTCAAACCAAGGAAGGCATTCGTCAAATAGCTATGATCGACCTTTTTTGATACATTCAAATCAAACCAATCCACAATCCTATTCATCATTATAAACAGTTTTAAATCTAAATCATCATCAAAGCTTAACACCAAACCTGGACATAAACTCAACCTATAATTGATCAAATCCTACAACCCTAAGACGATTACTTCCACCCAAATATACATCATCTTCTGGTACAATAACATGTTCTTTCTCTTTTTCCGAAGCCACTCCAGAGAACTCTTGTCCGCAGCCTATCTTGTTACCAGCACCATCCATCATCATAACAATGGCAGACAATGAATTCCAAACTTCAGATAAAACAACACCAAGAGCTTGTAAGATGTCAAATCCAATTTATACACCTTGTCAAGAATCACATTGTACTACATAGCTAGATTGGTCAAGGTCATCCTTGAGTACAATCATCATAGAGGAGATTAGGTTTATCTAATATGATCAAATCAGCCTCCTTAAGTCCCAAATCGACACAACCAAGATCACCACAAGTTTATCAACAAGCAAATAGAGAAGAAAGATATTTTAATGGTGATAGTAGCGGAGAGGAGCAACAAAAGATGAAATTGAACAGATTCAACATCAACTAATGATTGAATGTATTTAAGAGAACAACTTTCTTCTTCTGAAACTGTGAATCATGGTTTAACTTTGAGTCATGATCAAGGACCTGAAGCAGTAGCTAAAAGAAAATTGTGTAGGTCTAGATGATCAATAGATGGAGTGACATCAAATGCAATCTTACGTACTAATGCTACTACAATTCCAAGACCTGAAATACCTAATTCAAGTAATAGTAATGTATCACTGCTTCATCATCAGCTGATCAAAGTTCTTCTACAACCTCATTGAATAAGAACATGCTTTTAACACAACCAAATCATCATCATTCAGGTTCATTAACTAATAAAGTCAAACATTAACTTGAAGATTATGTACATAGAAGGAACTACTTGATGAGGTTTACATGCACTTACAGCTGCAAATGACAATGTATGTACCAGTCAAGCTTCTGGACCTATATTTTCCAAGCTTTTACCAACTTGAAAGACTAAATCTATTGGAGAGACTAACTGCTTGCTGGTGTTTCAATAAATCAACATGGAATTTGACAACTTTTATACCAGGCAAACAGTCCCAGAAATTTTGTGAGTTGACACCGCAGAGTCATTGAGTCCAAGAGCTGAAGTCAAGTCAAAATTCAAAACTAATGGTCCTATATTGCTGTTTGGTATCTTACAGCGTTCAGTAACCAAAACATACAACATACATGAACTAGGACTCTCAAAAATGTTACGAACATCTAAAACAATCTTTATTCCTCTACAAAATCCCTCTGATGATACATGAATAATTTCATTTAATTGCTTCAATTTGATTTGACATACATTGAAACAACATCAACAAAACTCTGATGCATACTTTGATTGATGTCCAATCAAAATTAACTACTGTCAAAACAAACCAAATTCAAACCTCAATCCCTCAATCAAAATCATGGTCTTATCATCACCATCATCATCATCATATAATTCATCACTTTCTCATCAAGCTATCATATTATCAAATTGAAGATCCTTCTCCTGACTTCTCAGTTTGCGACAGCTCAAGTTGACTTGAATTAAGAACACCCATGATAATCAATTGTCATTAGTTATCAAATCTCATTGCTTGCTTCTACTTCTCCACAACAGAAGTTCAAATATTCCTTGATCAAAAATCCTAATTGTATCTGAAAAGCTTTTTCATTATTGAATGAAGAGAAAGGTGTTGCATGATATAGATTTCATCAACTTGACAAAATTTCATCAGGTCATTTTGCTTACTTATTATAAGATTTTACTCAGGTCAAAATATCTGATTTGCATTTGATTGGGTTTTGTGTGAGTATCTCAGGCAATCACAACCTTCTGAGGGAAATTTTCCTTGCAACAAAATCATGAAGCATTTTCAAATTTAGGAAACATCTCCAAACTATTATGATCAAAAATTAAAACCATTACTGACTTCTACTTGTAGCCAACCAAAAGAGGATGGGAACAATCATCTTTCGGAATTAGAAGAAGAATGAGTATTCAGCATGGCCTGCTGCTGATCTGCTTGCAGCATAGACTTCTTACTGGCCATCTTAAAACAAATTATTTCAAGACATGAAAATTGAAGTCAATTTTTTTGAAGTCCAGCTTAAGCAGCATACTGCCTTATATGAAAAGTGTGATCAGACCTCTTAAGCCCGCAACTTGACACTGGTTACACATGTCATAATGATGGCGGCGTCAGCCGCTAAAGCGGCGCCCGCTGCAATTTGGCTAGTAACATTGAAGGAAGAATTTTTTTTTTACGAAGTTAAAAGTTATCACAAGAAAGCCATTGAACCACCCCATTACTCCTCTCACCACCACCTGAATCACCACACCGTCCTTCCAAACCCCAACCGACGACACCGAGTCTCTGACGAGTGAATCTTGGCACAACATCGCAAACCCAGACCCTACCATCGCACCAATGGCTACTATTGAGGATTTAAACCGACTAGCTCAGCAGATGGAGGACTTGAGTCGACGTCTAGCGGAAGAATCGGCACAAAGAGCTACACTTACGACTCAACTAGCCAAGGAATCATTGCGTCGAGAACAGGCAGAAGCTCGGCTGGCCCAGCTGGAAACTGGCCACCCGGCCCAGACCAACCCACCGACGTCCAATCCAGCCCCCGTCCAAAACACACCACCGCCTGATCCCGTTGCACATACCCCGCTCCAACTCATCAAGGTCGCCACTCCTGACAAGTATGAAGGCGCACGCGGAGCTCTGGCTGAGGCGTACGATAGTCAAGTAGGCATTTATATTGCTATGAACGCCACACTGTTCAAGACGGATGATGCAAAAGTAATGTTTGCAATCTCGTACCTAACCGGCGAAGCCATCAAGTGGGCTCAGCCATTACTGCAACACATCATGGACCCAGCAAAAGAGAACCCTGTCACTTACGATGAGTTTGTTCGAGCCTTTGAATCCGTCTTTTTCGACTCTGATTGTCAAAAACGCGCTGAGACGGCTCTGCGAGCACTGAAACAGACCAAATCGGCGGCTGAGTATACGGTATGCTTTAATCAACTGGCACCTGCTACCAAATGGGAACTGCCAACACTAATAAGTCACTATCGTCAAGGGTTAAAAAGCAACGTTTGAATCCCCATGATACGAGATCAATTCACTGACCTGGAGAGCATTACTAAACTGGCCTGTGCAATCGACAACGACCTGAGAGGTGAAGCCGTCGAACCTGCCACCATATCCCGGACTTCAGACCACATACCCATGGACATCTCGTCAGCAAGATTCAATATATCATTGGACGAGTATCATCAAAGAGTGCAAGAGCGTTTGTGTTTTCATTGTGGAGGTAGTGGTCATTCAGCTCGTTGGTGTAAAGGGAAAAGTCGTGAGGGTGGGAGTAAGAGAGCAGTTGGGAGAGGAAAAGTGGCGGAGTTAGAGGCGAAAATTGCGGCGTTGGAGGGTGTAGCGGCAGGTGGTAGTTTAAAAGCGGACCAATCAAAAAATGGCGATACTCAAGAGTGACTGATGTGCCACACTCGGGCCATAGTAGGAAGGAATTAGTGACGGGATTAGATGCTGTACAATCAAATGCAAAGAACTCAACTGATCCCCGTATTTTCACACCTATTTCTTTATCTGAGACTTCCTGTGCCACGTCCCCCAACCTTGACCGTACCCAAGCCCATGCGTTGATCGATTGCGGTTCGACGCATGTGGTGCTGGGAAAGAAGTTCGCCAAGCGTACTGGCTTGCCGATTTTGACCTTGAAAACTGCCGGAGAGGTCTATGGCTTTGATGGAGCTCCTCGTGCTGTTGCACAGGATGCTGAACTATGCATTGATGACGACAAAGAAAAGACACAATTTTTAGTCACGCAAATCAAAGACTCATACGATGCAATCCTCGGTATGCCTTGGCTACGCAAGAACGGGCATCGTATTGATTGGAAGAATGGAACGTTACGACCAAAAGACTCACCTCAAGACATCGCTGCCATCAAGATGGCGTCGTCCGACCCGAAAACCACCCCAGATTGCCTTGAGGCCCGGAAGGGGAAAGCTAGGGAACATGACAAGGGGGCTGTTAGTTTATCTGACGTTACCTCCGCGATGTGAGTACAATGATCTTACCTTACAACCCCGCCCCGAAACAGCCAACAAGCTTGTACATCTATTACCACAGATTAAAGCCGACAAAGAAGACCGTGAACGTCAAGATGCAGAACTCGCCACTGTGAAGACAGTGTTGCCTACTCCAAAAAAACCCCCGGATAGCCCTTTGGCCCATATGAGGAACACTAGGAAACTTGGCGAGGGGGCTCTCTTGAAAATGGAGATTCAGCCCCCGCGAGGTGAGTTTGTTACTGGAGAGACCCTAGACCGTGAAGCAGTTGACAAGCTTCAATGTCCCGGACACAGCACTACCCCATCTGTATGCCCAGCAACTACTTCCTGGAACGTGTCGGCCAAACTAGCGGTGGAAGAAATACGGGATCAACCTGCAAAGTCGGCCAAAGAACTTGTACCTACACGATATCACCGCTTCATCAACATGTTCAGAAAAAGCAAAGCGATGACACTACCTCCTCATTGCCGTTATGATTTTTGAGTCGAGCTTATCCCTGGTGCCACAGCTCAGGCAAGTAAGATGATCCCATTGTCCCCAGCAGAAGAGATAGCCCTAGACACAAT